GGTTTGATTCCAGTCAAGGACATGTACCTTAGTTGCAGGCTCCTCCCTGGCCTGGGCCCTGGTCAGGTGGAATGCAGGAAGTAACCAATCGATGTACTTCTCTCATATCAATATTTCTCTCTGTCTTTCCCTCTCTTTCTCTTTCACTCTCTCTAAAAATCAATGTAAAAATATCCTCAGGTGAGGATTAAAAAAAAAATAGAAATATCTATATCACAGGGCAGTTGTTAAGGATTAAATAGGATCATGCTTGGTAGCTCACAACATAGTAATGTATATAGGTATCATAGCTCTGATATATGGTAGCTGCTATCACAATGAAGACCCATGAAGATAAATCCATGTTATCTTTCATTTTTGAAAAGGCTAACATAACTTTTGGATGTTAAGAATGTTCTTATTATCAGGCCTTATGTTCCATTGTTGCCCAATCTAAGGACTGTGTACAAAGTTCTCAAGAGCTTGTGTGCCCACATTAGAGTACTCCTGCTCTGGTGCTTGCTGGCTCTCTGGTCTACAGCACTACTACAGAACAGGTTAGAAACCACTGCTGCTGTGACTAGAGTCCAGCCTGTCACGGTGACGGGACCTAATTATATAAGCCATACTCATGGCGCCTGGCCAGCATGGCTCAATGGTTGAGCTTGGACTTATGAACCAGGAAGTCATTATTTGATTCCCTGTCAGGGCACACACCTGGTTGTGGGCTTGATCCCCAATGTGGGGCGTGCAGGAAGGAGGTAGCCACTCAATGACTCTCTCTCTCATCATTAATGGTTCTATTTCTCTCTCTCTCTCTCCCTTTCTCTCTGAAATCAATAAAAATATTTTAAACAATAAACCATAATCATGACGGCCCTGTGTTTGTGTGCGCGTTGTTTTGTGTGTGTGTTGTTTTGATTTTACAGAGAAGGAGCACTCAATTATGAGAAAAGTGCTGTTGGAGGATGAAGTGTTGGCCGCCATGGTGTCTGTCATTGGCACTGCCACCACCCACTTAAGCCCTGAGTGAGTATGATCATGGATGTGGCTTGATCCCCAGGTAAAGGATAGCAATCTTGGGGAGCAGCAGCAGGTAGCTGCCTTCTGAGCTGTCCTTTTACCCAATATCAAGTGCCTGTTTGTCTTGTAAGTTTTGCTGACAAAGTAAAGAAGGGGCTTTTAGCACCATGGACCATGGGAGCAGGTGAACCAGGGATGGTTCTTAGCTGCAGATGTGCATAAGAATCACCTGTGGAACATTTTTAAAATATACGTTGCATTCCCTCACTAGATTGTGAGCTCCAGAACGTGGATTGGATCTGTCTGGCTTGCTGCTCTCTATCACCAGGGCCTAGAATGGGAACAGTTCCTGGCATATATGTCTGAATTAATAATTGTTTAATATGTGATCGATCATGCTCAGACCCACTGACTCAGGGACTAACAGGGCTACAATACAACCTTAGCTCCTTGGTGATACCTAGTGCTCTACCCCTAGCTTAGCTGCCCAGAGTGTCGCCTGCATTGTGCCCCTCTTCCTGGATGGCAACATCTCCTTTCTGCCTGAAAACAGCTTCCCTTGCAGATTCCAGCCATTCCAGGTGAGGGTCTGATGGATCAGATGGGGTAGAGTTCTGAGATTTCTGTCCTTGAAATTTCTAGGGCTAATCTGGGATGGCTATTGGAACTGATAAGTCTGTTGCTGGTATGACAGGCTTGATAACGCTCTTCTTCCTTTATAGGATGGCTCCTCGGGACAGAGGCGGCTGGTTGCCCTGCTTATGGCCTTTGTCTGCTCCTTGCCTCGAAATGTAAGTAAAGACATCTGGGGAGTTTCCCAGTTTAACCCTGACTAGGAGAGGTGGATCCCAAGTGACTTGCAGACTAACCTGATCTACTTCCCCACTGAGAAATGTAGTTCTCACCATCCTGGCCCCTGCTGCCACTCGTTACCGGTTATCCCTTTGAGTTCAAGTGTTTTCTGGGTCCATTACCTGACCAGGTTTTCTGTAGGTGGAAATCCCTCAGCTGAACCAACTCATGCGGGAGCTTTTAGAGCTGAGCTGCTGCCCCGGTTGCCCCTTTTCCTCCACTGCCGCTGCCAAGTGCTTTGCAGGACTCCTCAACAAGCACCCTGCAGGTACTGGAAGCCTTCCTGATGAGATCTTCAAGTTCGCTCCTCATTCCTTTTTAAAGGGAGCTTGCTAATACTACATATAATGGGGATTTCCAGGGGACAGTCCTTGGGACAGGTTGAGAGCAGAATTAGACAAAGCATTATAGGACAGAGATGAGGGGGTCAAGCAGAGTGCTGTGTCTAACCCTGTCATCCTGCTCCCTACAGGGAGCTGTCAGGGATCATTCTTTATTGGAAGCAGACAGCTCTTTTCCAGAGCCAGCACCCTGCGCTTTAAGGATAGCAGGCGCTCAGGCTGGTGGTCCAGAGCTGAGTGGGCAAAGCACATGGCGAGTGTTGCTGTTCTCTTCTCGTGGCTTCTTGGGAAGCTCTGCACTGAAATGATTTACATGCTTCATTGTTAAAGAAAAAATGTGTAGCCTTTGCATCAGCATTTCCTCTCTCCTTCTCAGGACAACAGCTGGATGAATTCCTGCAGCTGGCTGTGGACAAAGTGGAAGCTGGGCTGGGTTCTGGGGCCCACCGCAGTCAGGCCTTCACACTGCTGCTCTGGGTACGGAGTTGGAATGGATTCTCATTAAACAGACAATTATGTCTGGTTAAAAAGATTTCTCCATTTGACCTGGAAGCATAGCATAGGGCTTGTGTCGTGCCCTAACCATTTTCTTCTCTGGTTACAGGTAACCAAGGCCCTAGTGCTCAGATATCATCCTCTCAGTTCCTGCCTTACAGATCGGGTAAGTCCATTCGGGAGACAAGGGAATGTAGGACCTAAACAGGAACTTCTGTTGGTCCTATTCCTCCCAGAAATGACTGTCATCCTCCTCCCGGTATTGAGGAGTCTTCTCCCAAAATACCTCAAGGCTCTCTTTTTTTCCAGCTCATGGGTCTCCTGAGTGATTCAGAACTAGGCCCAAAAGCAGCCGATGGCTTCTCTCTACTCATGTCTGACTGCACTGATGTACTGACTCGTGCTGGCCATGCTGATGTGCGGATCATGTTCCGCCAGCGCTTCTTCACAGATAACGTGCCTGCTTTGGTCCAGGGCTTCCATGCTGCTCCCCAAGGTAAGGAGACTCTAAAAGGAAGGCCCCAAGTTTATAAACCTCTCCTTCGCTCAGGCCTCATTCTGGAAGATAATTTAGGACCTCAGTGCTACTTCAGGGTGGTGTACCTAAAGGGCTAACCTTCCAGATTCTTTTCTTTCTTTTTTTTTTTAATATATTTTATTGATTTTTTTACAGAGAGGAAGGGAGAGGGATAGAAAGTTAGAAACATCAATGAGATAGAAACATCGATCAGCTGCCTCCTGCACACCCCCCACTGGGGACGTGCCTGCAACCAAAGTACATGCCCTTGACCGGAATTGAACCTGGGACTCCTCAGTCCGCAGGCTGACGCTCTATCCACTGAGCCAAACCGGTTTCGGCTCCTTCCTTCCAGATTCTTACCCCCTTCTTTTCCGTTAGTGGATAGATCTTGCTTATTCTGAGATTGAGGGGCTTTTTTTATATAACATCTAAGTGGGCTAATGTCCCAGCTTCATCATATTAGAGTTGAATTCTCAAGCTGTATGTCTGAGCCCAGTTTCTTCCCTAAGCTTCTCTGTTTTTTATAGATGTGAAGCCAAATTACCTGAAAGGTCTGTCTCATGTACTTAACCGGCTGCCTAAGCCCGTGCTCTTGCCAGAGCTGCCTACGGTAAGTAAGCCTTGCAGTCCAGAGCCTCTAAGCACGGGACCACGCCATTGTCCCCCAGCTGAGGTAGAGGGAAGGTGAAGCAGGCTCATCACGTACGTGGTCATCCCACCTTTCCTGTGGCCCCCTAGCTGCTCTCCTTGCTGCTGGAGGCCCTGTCCTGCCCAGACTGTGTGGTACAGCTCTCCACCCTCAGCTGCCTTCAGCCTCTTCTACTAGAAGCACCCCAAGTCATGAGTCTTCACGTTGACACCCTCGTTACCAAGTTCCTGAACCTCAGCTCCAGCCCTTCCATGGTACGTTGAGCCCCAGCAACTCTCTGGCTTCTACAGCTGTCCTTGGGTCTCCTCTCACCTCCCTCTGGTTGTGTTCCAGGCTGTCCGGATTGCTGCACTGCAGTGTATGCACGCACTCACTCGCCTGCCCATCCCTGTGGTGAGTACCCAAAGTGTTCCTCTCCGGCCTGGAAAATTCTAAGAGCCAGAGAAGTACCTTTTTGCCTTAGTCAAGCATGCTGGCCACCCTTCTGTGTGATGAACTGCAAGGTACAGATAGGCAAGGATTTGTCTAAATACCCCACCACAGAATGGTCATCCTGTCACCTAGCATCCTCTGGAATCACTAAAGAATAGGACTCGCTTTAAAAATGGAACTCCCATTCGACCCAGTAACCTCACTTTTGGGATTATAAGGGACATATGCACCCCTATGGTCATAGCACAATTTACAATAGCTAAGATTTGGAAACAGCCTAACTGCCCATCAGCAGATGAGTGGATTAAAAACAGTGGTATATTTAAACAATGGAATACTATGCTTCTGTAAAAAAGAAGGAACTTTTACCATTTGTAGCATGGATGGGACTGGAGAGCATTATACTAAGCGAAATAAGCCAGTTGGAGAAAGATAAATATCACATGATCTCACTCATTTGTGGGATATAATGAACAACAAACTGATGAACAAAACCAGATCCAGAGACAAAGAAACACTGAACAGACTGTCCAACCTCAGAGAGAAAGGGAGAGGGGGGGCGGGGGGCAGTAAGAGATCAACCAGAGGACTTGTATGCAGTAACCAATGGACAGACACTGGGGTGGTAGGGGCTTGTCCTGGGGGATGGGAGCGGGGGGGTGGGGGGGGGCGGGTTTCAATAGAGGAAAATGGAGACATGTTCTTCATTAAAAAAGAAGAACCCCCAACATTAAATTCCCATGATATTCTGATGATGCTTTTACATAGTGACTATTAATAAGCAGCATAGTTCTAAAAAAAAAAAAAAAAAATAGGACTCAAGTAGTTGTAGTGTCAGAAAAGCAGCTCTTTGGCTGCTTTGGCTAAACAGGCTAAGATTAACTCTCATTCCACAGCTGCTGCCATACAAACCACAGGTGATCCGGGCCTTAGCCAAACCTCTAGATGACAAGAAGAGACTGGTGCGAAAGGAAGCAGTGTCAGCCAGGGGAGAATGGTGAGTTCCTAGGTTGTGGGGAGAGATGGGATTGAAATGAGCCTCGCCACTAATGCTGCCAAATTCTTCCTGCTACAGGTTTCTGTTGGGAAGCCCCGGCAGCTGAGCCGAGTCCTGGCCTAGACTGTTCTGACAATCGGACTTGGAATTACTAACTATTGAGCCATCTTGCCAAGGCAGGGAGACCGCTGGCCTCTGACTGCCTTTCCCACAAACACAGCATAAATGCTGGGCCTCTGCTGCACGGCTGTACAAGAAAGTCCTGGTTTCTAATGGATTTGTGGAGTAACTGAGTGTGAGACTACTTGTGTTTGAAGAAAGATCTTAAGTCTCTTCCATGTTTGTTCGTCAGGAAAAGAGATGCTGCTGAGGAGTGAATGCAGAGAGATGAGTGTGGCCCTGAGGACCAGGGGTGGTGCATGTGTATATATCTGCTGAAGAATAAAGATTTCTTTTTATAACGGGACTGTCAGATATTTTCTCCCTGCCCCCTGGCGAACAGTATTGAAAGAGGTTAGCCAAGAATTTTCAGGGCCTCCAGTGCCTCCAAATAGGGCAGCGGTGGCATGACCAGAACACCTACCTACTCACTAAGCCTTGAGCCTGACTTTCCCCTCCCTGCCCTAAAGCAGCGGCAAAGAGAAGCTACAGGTCTTTAAAAATCAAATACCTTTATTTTTGCTCCCGTTAGCATGTGAGAAGTGGCAGTGACCTCAGCAGTAGGCCTGGTGTCTTTGCCCTGTTGAGAAGCCAGGATCTCAGCATGATCATTCAGATGTTTCCTCAGACAGCAAGTGGAAGTGGTGGTGGCCAACTCCAGTGCTAGAACCTGGAGGTTGGGGTCAGCACCCGGCAAGGTTGCTAGCTGCCTAATCTCCAGTCTATGGCTGGAACTTCTGTTTGCCTGAGTAAAGGAACTTCAGTCCTAGGACTTTTCCACATCATGCCTTGCTTCTGCAGTGGCCAGGAGTCAGGTCCTTGGGTTGTCTGTGCATGGTACCCTAAGGCAGGTCCACTGGCTCTTGTTGCTCAAGAATTCCAGGAAGCTACCCTTGGAGGCCCTTGAGACAATGCAGGAAGCAGGGTGATGCTCAAATTGTGGCTGACAGAATCCAGCTCACACTGCCATCACAGAGGCTGACTGAGCAGTCACCCAAGGAGGAGGATCCCAGATGATTCCATTCCCATGGGGCCGGTGACTGGAAGGTAACAGCACCCGAGTAAGCCAGTGCCTGCAAGAGAAGAGAAATGTCTGAGTTCCAAGAGTTTGTGGGCTTCCTGATCCTCATTCCTCAGTAAGGACACATTAAGGTATCTTGAGCTACTTGGCATTAATCACAAAGGAACGAAAGCCCTCATTTTGGCCAATAAATGTGTCCTCTGGTGCCTTGAAGGCCTTTAGAGGTTTTGAGCTGAACGTCTAATGGGGCAACTGCAAGCATATTAACAGCCAGGGATGTAATGGGGTTGGGGAAAGGCAGGCAGGAACTTGCAGTCACATTACTGCCTCCATCGCTGCAATTTGGAAAAGGATTTTCCCATGTCTTGGGTGGAAGAAGCTAGCTTCATTTATTGTCTTAGGACAACCTTTGTCACAAATAGATTATTTCAATTCCAGAAAGTATTGGCTTGGACTCCAGACACTGCCATACAAATGGAAGGTGATTGGTAGCCACCTTCCCTATATAGAAGTCCCTTCTTGAAAAGAGCTTTCTTGGAATATTGTGTTATCTGTAAGCTTCATCTGCTACTTAAACCACAGTGTTGGCCTTAAACTCTGTTGGTGAAAATGAGCAATGATCTCTACTCCTAGAATCCAGATCTGCGCTTCCAATATTGTGACCACAAGCCACATGTGTTTTGTTATTGTTTTCTAATTTATTTTTATTTTAGAAAGAGAAAAAGAATGTATCAATTTTTTTTACTTATGTATTCACTGGTTGATTCTTATATGTGCTGACTGGGAATTGAACCTGTAACCTTGGGGTATTGGGAAGACTAACAACTGAGCTACCCATCCAAGGAACACATGTGCCTTTTTAAATTTGTGAAAATAAAATTTAAATAAATTCATCAGTGCATTAGCCACTTGGCAAGATTTCAGTAGCCACATGTGGCTAGCTAGTGGCTAATGTTTTAGACAGCATAGGCACAGAACACCTTTCTCATCACAGATTCCTATTGGACGGCACTGGTCTTTACCTTCCTGTGTCCACTCCCAGGAATAACTTCCAGTTGTCCAAGCAGCCGTAGTTATAATGATTCCTAAAAACCTAGGACCAAGAAAAATGTAAGTTTCTACAAACCTTTTCTTTAACCCCCTTCTAATTTTCAAGCCTAAGCTCAGCTAGGCAAGTTCTGGATGTGGGGCCAAATTACCTGCCGTATTGGCCCTACCCATGGCCTATTTATAGGCTGGCAGGCTCAGCATCCTCCCCCAGCCCTCAACCCTACTCACTCTGCCCTTGGCCTCCAGCCGACGTCTCTCCTTCCTGTTGATGTGCCTTTCAATACTAGTCTCACCTCGACTGATGAGAACAGCATGCCATAGAGTTAGGGCACCCAGGGCAAGTGCCACAGAACTAAGAAAAAAAGCAAAGACTGGTGAGCAGCTTAGAGAGGGTTAACGGCTATGTCTGAAATTAAGCTGAGCAATAATGATTGGATAGGGAATTCTTTCCCAGCCTATGCACCCCAGATAAACTTTTACTTCACTCCATCTATAAAAAGCATCAATGAAAATACTTCAACATGGGTTAAGAATAAATTATGTGGAAAGGAGGGGGAATAAGTCTGTATTACTAATTAAAAAATATATAATTTCTTAAAATAGCCATGCTTGAGAGCCTATATAGATGAGTAAAAGTATCAGGGGTTAGAATAGGATGGCACAAAATTCAGGCTCCAGCTCTACCATTCCTTCCTGCTGTGTACTGTGAAACAAATCACCCTGCTAATTTTCAGTTTTCCTCATCTATAAAATGTAGTCACTTACTGTTTAGGTAGGCGTTTAACTTACCTTGGCATATAACAAACACTCAATGCCAGTATCCTTAGTATTCCCTGCACCAAAATGCTAAAGAAAATTAAATGCTGACTTTTCCAACCTTTATTAGACTAAGGGCAGCAGTTCACACAGGAATGGGTCCCTGTGGCCATCTAAGAAGGTTTTTCTGAAGCTGCCCCTCCATTAAGCTGCCAAAAAGGAGCGAGTTAAGATACCTGCACAGGAACCAGAGGTAGACAAGACTCTTGTGAGTCATTCTTTCTCGGAAGGAGAAGGTGGGTGGTGGGGTCTGGTGATAAGTCTAGAAAAAGAAAACAGCAAAGTCTGGCTCATTTGCTGTGCTAGTCTCCACCAGAGCCCCCCACGCCTTCAGGCAGGGAAGTGATCGGAGCCCAGGATGAAAAAATAATGGGTTAAGCCACAGAGGAGTCAGGGTAGCAGCCAGATGAGTGGACCAAGCCCGGCAGCATCATGTGGACAAACACTGGGCAGAGTGGGTCTAGACAGGATGGCAAAGCACAGAAGGAGCTGACCCTGGGCCTTGCGATCTGACAACACGAATGGGGATCCAGGGGAAGCCACTCCACTGCCCAGCTGGAATTCCTTCCCCTGGGGCTGCAATCGCCGAGAGACCAGGCCCACACCCAGAATGGAATGACTGCAGCCGGGAGAACTGAGCTACACTAAGGGCTGAAAGAGCAGCAGAGGTACAATCCAGCCCAAGGTCTGCTCAGCATAAGGAGTCCCAAAAGCCTGGGAGAAGGGACGACCCAGGTGCGGATGCAGACAGACCAGGAACAAAGGATGATCAGACTGGCTCAGCCTGATCTCTGTCCCCTGGAGCCCCCGTACACAGACTGACACAGACTCCTTGCTGCTCAGGCCATCACCAAGGCAGAGTTCTTGCTCAGCCCCCCAAAAAAAGGTGATTATGGGATAGAGAGCAAAAAACTGTCACACACCAGGAACTTCTAGGGCACTTAGTCTGCATGGCAGACAGCCTCCCAGTACACCCTGATCCAGTCTCCAGCAGCCCCTCAACCAGGCTCTACAACTCCACCAGTGGGCCCTGGTTGCCTCAGCAACTCTATGCCCCCCGGCCTGAGCAGCAAAAGGCAGGGGGGTGGGGACCGCCCACCTGGTTGGCAACCGCCTGTAGTTTGTTCTTGTCGAGCTGTTTCATTCTCTAAGGGGATGGAAAACAGTGCCGGTTATACTCTCAGGTCTCTGGCACGGAGGTGCTACCAGCCAGCTCCTGAAGGGACAGATCCCACACCCCAGCGTGCTGTCTACGCAGTGGCCCTGCCCCTGACTATGGGCTCACCTCAATGGCAGCGTAAGCCTCCCGGAAGAGGTCCCAACTTCCATAGCTGCAGTAGACACAGCCCAGAGTCATGAAAAAGCAGAAGGAGAAGAAGTACCGATGGTTATAGTGGCCCACACAGTTGTTGAGCCAGGCTGGTGCGGGAAGGATTAAGGACAAGATCAAACAACTTCAGGGTGTGTCCGGGCCTCTCTGGTTCATCCTTGTTTCATGGTGACATCATCCAAGCCCAGGGTTTCCAGTCACCAAGAACTATTTTCCAAAGGCAGGAAGATGCATACGGGACTTGCCAGAGGTTGAGGTGAAAGTGTTAAAGCTTTTCAGAGCCCTCACAAGTCCCATCAGGATATCATGAAAATGGAAACCCTTCACTGAATGTGCCAATATGTCAACCTAGCTGGGGTTCACCAGACATCTGTATGGGGCAGCAGAAGGGAATCAATGCTTCTATCTATTGTAGATGATGACTGAAGCCCAAACATCTCTTTCCATCCAACAGATGCCGGCATGACAGTCTACAAAAGAAAGGGCTGCAGGAACAGATGCCTTGCTCCAAGGAGTTGTGTCCCAGAGCACCTGTACGCTTCCTGCTTCCCCCCCGGAGACAGTCAGCCGCCACAACTCCTCTTCCTCCTGAGCCCAGTGTTCTCCGCAGGGTGATGCTAGAAGCCTCACCCTGGGCAGTGGGCAGGGCTCTGAAGCTAAAGAGGAGGCCTGAGGCGGAAGAGGTAATAAAAGGATACGACAGTGGTGGTCCATCTTCAGCACACACCTGTGAGGGAGGGACACAGGCTGTTACGGTGGCCAAGGTTCTTGAGATGTCAGTGCCAATCCTTCTCTACAAGGACCAACGTCCTGCTGAGGTGGAAAGGGCACAGACTTTGAAGACAGCCAGGCCTTTGCTACAAACGCTGCGACATTGGCTACCTGGTACTCCATGAGAGTATCTCTTGGAACCTCCGTTTCTACCAGTGGTGGTAACACCGAACTCGCAGGACCAGCCTGAGAGCCAGGGGTCATGACAGAGAGGGCGCATTGCCTGGCAGGCGGTGAGTGCTTCATAGACACCAAACCCCAGGTCTAGGTTTTTCCCTGGGGCTACAGCCGGAGGGCCAGAGCGAGGGTTCACAGGGAGCAAAGCCAAGACCCACCTATTGCAGACGCTGCAGTGGTGCGTTCGGGCTGGCTTGGGGTAGATGCACTTCTTACAGATGGAGACGGTCGCAATATCGTTCCTGCCCTGCGAAGGGAGAAAAGCATCGTGACAACATGGCAGCACCCGCGTCACACCTGCAAAGATGCCCAGGCACGCACCCTCCCCGCTCCTGGCACTGGCGCCGTGGCCAGCAGCCCTCCGCCTCCCCCCACGCCCTGTGGAGACCCACCTGGGGTGGATATCCGGGTGGAGTGGTGATGGCCTGGTAGTAATGGAAGACGATGAGGATCAGATTCCAGTGGCTGTAGAAGAAATGCCAGCAGAGTCGTGGCACTGAGTAGGTTCGGAGGATGAGGGGCAGGACACACAGGTAGGCGATGGCCACGATGGAGCTGGTCAGCACAATCACCAGCACCACGAACACCTGCCAACACCAGTGAGGTCAGGCAGGTGCAGCGAGAGAGCTTGTGGACACCCAGAATGAGTCAGGAATACCCCCAGGGTACGGGCTGGCGTTGGTGCGTCAAACACACGTCCCTCCGCTACCCCAAAACATCCCTCTTCCTGCTCCCTGGGCATCACTCACCACCCCACACCAGCGGATCACGTTGTCCACCAGCCAGTAGATGGGCTCAAAGGCGGCATCGACAGCGGTGTCACTGCCCCCGAAGGAGTTGTAGAGCAGAGAGCGCAGGCAGACCTTGCCGTAGCGCCAGCGCTGTACCAGGCCCCGGAGCAGAGGGGGGCAGCGGCGCCTGGAGCCCAGGAGCAGAAGCAGGCGCAGGCAGAGGCGGGCAGGGCCCAGCAGCAGGCTCCGCTGGCCCTGCATGGCTCCTAGGAGAGCACACCATTGTGAGGGGCTACATGGCTCCTAGGGGAGCACACCATTGTGAGGGACCAGCCTCCCGCCATAGCCCACCATTGGGGGGGGGGGGGGGGACACCGAGCACCAGTCTAGCAGCAAAGACCTAAGACTGAGGCCCAGCGGGGCCAGTTATCAGCTGTGGGTAGTAAGAAAGTCACTCCAATCCTCTCCGGAATGTGCAGTGCTAGTGTCCCAACCGGACGACAGGGGGCAGGGCTGGAGGTTCCAATCAGGCAGAAGCCACATGGCACCATGTGGTTAGACAGCAAATCCAAGATAACGCACACCAGAGCCAAGGGCCACATTAAAGGGGAGAAGGAGACACGCGGCTCCAAGACAAAGCAGGGTCTTTGGGATTGCCCGTAGACAGATCACTGGGTGGAGCACAGCCAACATGCAGAAAGCTGCCCACGGTGTCTCTGTGCGCATGGCCACTGGCCGAGGGTTCCCCAAGTCTTTGCGTGCCCTGGCCACGGACCTGCCTCTAAGGAACAACCTGTGGGGGTGTGAATGCATCGCATGTGGAGCCTGCACCCAGATTGTCCCTGCCCAGGGTTTCCTGACCCAAGAACTATTTGGTTGCTGACTTTTAGCAAAAGATACTCATCCTTCCTACTCCCTCTGGGCTGATGTTACAGGCCACCAGACCCAACCTGGTAGCATGCGAGTCCCTGCCTCCTGTCAGGGCACTCAGCTACCCTTTCCATGACATAAGATGCTTTATCTTCAATTCCAGTCCCAGCACCACCCCAACCGTACAGAAGACAAGACAGCCTGGGTATTCAGAGGAGAATAACACCACAGGCAGGAAGACATGGCGGTGAGAGGGGAGCCTCCATGCTGGTGGCTCATGACGACAACAAGGCCTGAGCTCCCGGCTGAGTCTCCCCTGCCTGTCCTAGATGAACAATCGAGAGCCTTCTCGACAGCTGCTGCCCTGGGCCCCCGAGCTTCCCAGCCAGCTTCCCTCGCTCTTTAGCCCTTTGCATGGCTTCTCTGCCAGTGCCTCCATCTCCTCTGTGTGGTTTCTATCTCATCCAACAGCCATGGAAGGTCAGTGGCCCAGGCCATGCCCAGAACAGAAGACACAGATTCCTTCAATGATAGTCTCATCAACTCTGCAGATTAACGTCCCTTCCAGAAAAGAAATTATCTGATTTTCCCCTAGAGCTGCTTTGTCCTCACTGACTTATTTAACAGTCAGCTCAAAACCCAGCAGAAACTGGAGGAGGCCACTCCACTGTAGGGATGGTTTCCGTTCAGTAACTGGAGCAAGGTACTCTCCTTGCACCCCGGCTCACCAACATGAAAAGCCTTTCATAGAAAACTCTTAATTACCTCCTTCCACAACCCTATAATGACCTGAGGGAAAAAGAAATCCAGCAGACAATGCCAGCAGAGAAAGTGGAGAGACAGAAGACAATTCAGTAGGGATCTACTCTCTGCACCGGGATAAAGAAATGGCCATTCCCATATCACCTCCTAGGAGCTAGAGGATTGAGAGAGAAAAAGGAAAAGATCAAGCCTCCTACCTCCTTTGAGTTGGACTCCCGTTGTTTGGAACCCTGATTTGTCTTAAAGCATCAATGTTCAAAATAGTACATACAGGCACCACAATCAAAAATATAAGAGTGGGACAAAACATTCTATCCCACAACAAATGCAAGTGGCTTAGGCGGTCCATACCACTGTTTTTAGTCCCTTATTATGGCTAATGGAGAATTTCCTGTTTGCTAAAACACAAGAGCAACAGCTTGCAACTAAGATGGATTGTATTTCTCATCTTTATTAATACGATCAAATGCCACCTCTCCAGTCTACAAACTTCCTTTTTCAGGTTTCCACTTTGTGGATTGTTCTCAACCACCTCCAGAAATTCCCGTGCTCTACAGGAAATGCCTGCTTCAAGGGCCAGACTTGCCAACTTTCATGTGCCCCAAAATTTGACTGCTCAAGGTTCAATTCTGTCCGTCAGTGGTTCTGCGACTTGGGCAAATCCCTGGATCCTGCCTGAACTCAATTTTCTTGTGTTCCATGCAATGTGGATAAGTCAATGCTGAGGTCCCTTCTAATGCTAACCCTTTATGATTCCATAGACACACTTGGCGAGGTATAAATGAAATGTTCATAAAGTTCTTTGCACAAGACCTGACTCATGGAAGTGCTCCATAAATACTTGTTAAGTAAATAACCTGAGATGTAGAAGTGGAGAGACTGGTCAGATGTGTATCTGTTCAACAATGCGATAACACTAAAAAATTTTCTGCTGCTGTCATTCCTTGCTGTTAGAATCATAGCACGTGTTAGAAGGCATTTTAGGAAACAACGTCAACCAGAAATCAACCCAGATGTGTAAACCAAAAGCTTGTAGATGTGGAGCGCAAGAGCAAACAAAGTCTGAAGCTGAGCCTCCACTCATTTTAGCTCGTGGGCTTTGGGCCATGGGGAGGCCAGGTCCACAGGGCCACAACTGAGCATCCATTCATCTCAAGAAACCGAGGAAAAGCAGAACTCAAACAATTGTGCGGGAGGAGCACAGAGAAGGGGGGGTTCAGAGTGAACAAGGGAGGGAAAGGAGCAAAGCACACCATCACCCCAAGCACAAGCCCTGAACACCAAACCCACGGTGGTAGTAGCCACAGACCATCGTGACACCTGCCACCAGATTAAAGGGGATTGCAGGCCATGGCACTCTCCTCTGCCCGAGGCTCTAAACCACCATCTGTTTCCCAAGGGGAAACTGGGTTTGGGGATGGGAGCATATACTGGGAAAGACCGATTTCAAAGCTGCCAGAAGGCAGAGGAAACTGTGATGAAAGTCTTGGTAAACCTCATCCGGACAAGGATGTTGCTCTCAGGATGTTTGCAACTTCGAACGGCAGGTGTCAATCATCATTACCAAGAGCATTTTATGCACGTGCAAGACTTCCCTTCCGGACTAACATGTTGGAAAGAGGAAAAGTTAAGGATGGGATCCGACTCTTGTGAGGATTCCACTGAGATCGGAAGCTGCAGTCATAAAACCAGGGGGAAAGTTTATTTCTCGGTGAGGGTGGCATGGTCAAAGTGCGATGGACTGGGTGTCAAAAAACTTCGGTTCCGGTTTAGGCTCTATCTTCAACTACCTTTGAGACACTGGGCAATTCAAATCTTATCTCTGGATCTGAGTTTGCAAATCTGTAAAATGGGCAAGATAGGTTCCTTGGCTTTCTTCCAGCTTCACAGGTAACGGCTGCCGGGAAGGTGCACGCTGCCTGGCTGGAGGAGAGCGCGGACACACAGGGCTCCGCTGGGAGACAGCAGGAAGCCGGCCACCCGCCAGGCTCCACAACAGGGCCCGACCCTAGATAAAGGGACCGGGCTGAGGACAAAGGCCTGCCGACTTACCTGCCTCCGGCCGACTCTCCAGCCGACCAAATGGAGCTCGCAGCCTCCGCTCACTGCCACCCCTTCCAGCTCGGAGCCCCAGGCCCACAAGGCTCAATCCAACCCACCATGCCCGGCTGCCTGCAGGGCCAGCCTGCAGACCCGGACCCGCCGCCAGCCCATCCTCAACCACGGGCGCACGCGCAAGTCCAGGCGCTCTGGAGCTCCGCCCCGGGATTCGCCCGGGGCACCCTGGGACTTGTAGTTTACCCCTTCAGCAAGGCATTGAGGGTCACGTGACAAAACGCACCAATTGGCGCGTTTCTTATTGAGGCACTGCACCTGTGCTTTGGCCAATGAGAGGTCGTTTTCGTTTTCCTCGGGGCTTTGGACAGTGGCTGTCATGGCGCCCCCCGTGAGGTACTGCATCCCGGGTGAGTGAGTGATGCCCCTATCGAGTCCTGGATAGGGACAGAGGCGGGAAGGCTGGATGGCCCACAGCATCTGGGCACCCGTGGCTGATGCCGCGGTTTTTTTCCCCTGCAGGCGAACGTCTGTGTAACTTGGAGGAGGGCACCCCAGGCAGCGGCACCTATACCCGGCATGGCTACATTTTTTCGTCTCTCGCTGGCTGCATGACGAAGAGCAGCGAGAACGGCGCGGTAACGGGGGCGGCCTTCCATCTCCTCGGTCTTTGCCTTGCTCTTAGGCTGCTGCCTTTCATTTCGCGGTCCTTGGGCAAAGGCACTGTGGACGCATCTTCAGTGCCTCACCGGGAAGAGCGGGTCTCTGAAGTTTCTTCCTCCTGTGGTCCCTGCTGCCAGGCACTTGGTTGGCACAAGGGTGCCAGTTGTTTGGGGCACCCTTGCTTGTGTTGCTGACTCTCGGGGAAGGATGTTGGGGGAAGAGCAGAGGCCAGCTCAGCCCTACAGTGAGCTGATTCCTGCCCACATGTTGCCTACTTCTCTGGCTTCATCCATATCCTCTACCATCTGGTCATACAGCGTCGCTAGTGCTCTAAGCCCTCTCCTGCCACCGGGCCTTTGTACGCACTTCATCTGCCTGGCACTCTCTTCCCCTCCTTATCCTGTGTAATCCCTGCCTATATCAGATACCGTAGTATCTAAATACTTCAGATAGCCTAAGTGTCACTCAGAGAAGCCCTCCTGCATCCTCCAGTGGAGGGAGTGAGTTTTGTTTTTGTTTGTTTTGTTTAACACAAAGAATTGTATTCCTTTCTTTCCAAGCACTTATCTCAGGATATAATTGAACAGTTATATGTTCCCCACTAGACTCTTCCCCTACTTTAAGATTCATGAAAGCAGGCCTCACCACCATACCTTTAATGCATAGCACAAGTAAATGCTCAATAAACATTTGTTGAAGGCACAGGTTCCAGAGCTTAGCACAGTGTTAACTCAGGATCAGATAAACAATCTTTGAAGGAGCAGCTTAAAGCAGGTAGCATACTAGAAAGAGGATTCAGAATTAAAACACTTGGGTGCTGAATAGTTAGACCTTGATTCTGTTTTATCTAAGAAACAAACTGTCTGGCTTTAAGTTCTTCCTCATTTGTAAAGTGAGAGGCTTTTCATTCAGTTTTGGGAATGTCCTTAACATTTGTAAGTTTGTTCATTTTCTAGGTATGTTCCCATGTCAGGCTCAGTGCTGAGCTCTAGAGATACGGTAATGAGCCAGATACACATGGTCTCTGCTATCAAGGACACAAACCCAAATTGTAAATAAACAAATGCTCAAATTAATGTATGGTTACAACTGTGATGATTGCTTAAAAAGAATACTATTGGTACCATGAGAACATGCGGTAGGTAAACCCAGCCTAGTTAGCGGAAGTGACATTTAACCAATCTAAAGGATAAATAGGAATGGCTCAGTCCTGGCAAAAAGAACAGGTTGAACAGAGCTCCTGAGATGAAAGAAATTTAGTGAGCTGGTCAACTGAAAGGCCAGGAGAGCCAAACATAATGAGCAAGGGAGAGATTAATAACATATGAAATTCAAAATACTATTTATCATAAACCACAGCTAATACCATGCTCAAAGAGAAAACTCTACAAGTATTCCCATAAACCAGAAGCAAACAAGTATAACCACTATTATATAACAGTGATTTGGAAATTCTCGCCTATAGTGAGAAATAGAAAGAATAAGCAGTATAGCTTTGGGAGAAAGAGTCAAATTATCCATGATTTTAGGCAAATTTTATACCAAGTAATTCCAAGAAAGTCACATACAAAAACTTGTTAGAACTGATCTGAAATGGTTAGTTTATGTCTTCTAGCAGCATTCTTTCTGTGGCCCTCCTATTTTCTAAAATTTCTAAGGCTCTCTGCTCTGGGCTACAAACGAATCTAGTCTACCTGCCCTCATAGGCTTAACTCTGGACCAAGAGAATCCTATATTACACTCAAGCCACAAATACCTCTGCCCCAAGGCTTAGCCAGGATACTCACGTTTTATTGTTTTCCTTGTAGCTTCCTGTTGTGTCTGTGATAAGAGAAACAGAGTCCCAATTACTGCCAGATGTGGGAGCTATTGTAACCTGTAAGGTAAGTTAGATTTAACGTTGCTACTTAGGATACACACATCCAGTGCTGAAGTCATGATCATTGTAGGCCTGCACTGTTCAATATGGTAGCCACTAGCGACATATGGCCATTTAAAAGTCAGGAAATTAAAATTTAAAGTTTATTTATCAGAGTCCTAGATAAATCAATTTGGCTCATTAAATAGAGTGTCAGCTTGCTGACTGAAGGGGCCCAGGTTTGATTTCAGTTAAGGCCACATGCCTGGGTTGCAGGCTCGATCCCTATAGGGGGCATGCAGGTGGCAGGTAATCAGTGATTCTCTTAATCATTGATGTTTCTATCTCTCTCTCTCTCCCTCTCTCTCCCTCTCTCTCTCTCTCTCCCCCCCCTTCCTCTCTGAAATCAGTAAAAAATATATATATATATTTGAAAAAATAAAATGTATTCATCAGCTTCAGTAGCTGAATTTCAAATTCTTTAAAAAAAAAAAAATACATTTTATTGATTTTTACAGAGAGGAAGGGAGAGGGATAGAGAGTTAGAAACATCGATGAAAGAGAAACATCGACCAGCTACCTCCTGCACACCACCCACCAGGGATATGCCCACAACCAATGTACAAGCCCTTGACCGAAATCGAACCTGGGACCTTTCAGTCTGCAGACTGACACTCAATTCACTGAGCCAAACAGGCTTTGGCCGAATTTCAAATTCTTAATAGCAACATGTGGTTAGTGGTTGTCATATTAGTCAACACAAAACATTTTTATCACAGAAAATTTTACTGGATTGTGCTGGTCTAAAGATTTCTAGGATAATGATCAAGGCAGCCAAGTTCAGGTTTGCGTAGTTCTTTCATAGAACAGGTTCCCTGAGTATGTAGTTTTACTTGTGTGGGAAACGGGCTCCAAAAGGTGGTAAGAAGGTCTATCTTTGCATATCTGAGATGAGACCTTTTTCTGCAGAAAAATGAAAAACTTTATACTGTTGCATTCCTGTTAAATATAAAGACTTTAGGATGTTCCAGGGGAAATACAAATTAATGCTGTACTGACCAGTAGCTCCAGTACATCATCCCACCCTCCGCCAGGTTACATTAACTTGGAGCTCTAGGTTTCTCTCTTTATAACTTGCTCCAGCCG